GGACCCCCGCAGGTCCCTTCCAGCCCCACGGCTCTGGGATTCCGTGTTTCTCAGCCCCACCCCAGGACAAGCCGCTTCTGCTGTCTACACAGACATGCTGCCATCTCCAAAAGGGAGCGACCTCGAGGGGCCGTGAGGTTTCATTTGATCTCTGAGTGAAGGGCACTACTAATCCATCCACTCAGCCTGGGGAACCAGCCGGGGGTCACATACCTGCCTGGGACCAAGACGTCGTACCCAGCGGTACTCAGCAGCTTCCGCTCGGAGATGCACGTGCTCAGCCAGGCGGCCGTCACCAGCCGCACGCTGGGGGGCAGCGCGGCCAGTCGCAGGAGCCGCAGCGCCCGGCCTCCATCCATGCCTTCATTCACGATGATGTGCGTCACCTCTGGGGAGGGCTGGCTGCAGACACGGCCCCCACGCTGCACGATGTGCTTGTGGAAGATCTCAGCCCTGGCCCGGCCCATGCCCGCCGGCAGCACGTAGGCAGTGACAGATGCCAGCCAATCTGCGGAGAGGAGGCGGAGAGACTCAGCGACGTGGGAACTCCCACAGCAAGCAGGGACGAGCCCATCCTGCATGTCCAGATCCAAAACAGGGTCTGGCCTTCCAGAAACCCGTGCCCTGCCCGGGAGGGGAGGGGAGGGGAGGAGAGCAGGTATTCTGTCGCTCGCACAAGCAACAGGCCCCTGGTTCCAGCCCTGCCTCAATCCTCCAACGCAGCGGGGTCAGACTCTCCCAGCTGGATCTCGAGATCCTGGCAGGCCGGATCCAGATGCAACAGCCGCGGGAACTGACAACCAACATTCGTTCCTCACCGCTGCCCTCCACGGGGAACCACAGCCCGGATTTCGGCGATGGGCCTGCCCCGCCTTGCTCTGCCCTGGAAGACTGAGCCCTCCTAGGGCAGGACGCAGCCGTGGGCCGCACGCGGCACGCTCTGCTCTAAGGGTGCGGACGTTACTGGCACCTGCAGCACGGCAACGTCACGCCTGAGCCACCCCAGAGCGCCGCAGGGCAGGAAAACCACCGCAGCCTCGCACCGGTTTCCGGCAGGGGCCCAGGCAGGGGAGCCCAGTCACGCGTGTGGCTGCAGGGGCCGGGCGGCGGCGACACCGCAGCCCCTTGCCCTTCACGCCAACCGCCCGGCAGGAGGCAGGGCGGGGCCCCCGACTCACCCTCGGGGCCCCCCGCCTCCGGCTCCTTCTGCATCTTCGGGGGGACCTGCTCCGCCCCATCCCGCGCCTTCTTCCTCTTGGGGAAGGCTTTGACAATGCCGGCGGGCAGCATGGGCCGAGGGGTGCCGCGAGCCCCCGGCGCGCACTGCAAGGCAACGAGACACGAGAGAAAGAAGATACCCCAGCCCTGGGGGGCAGGAGCCCCCTAACACCCCAGACTCGTGGGAGCAGGAGGCCCCTAACACCCCAGGTTTGGGGGGGGCAGGAGGCCCCTAATACCCCAGGTTTGGGGGGGCAAGACGCCCGCGCTGCCCCAGGCTGGGGCGGGAGGTGAAAGGAGGAGCCCCCCCACCGCCACCACTTACTGGGGAACCGCAGCAGGAGATGGGCGAGGCCAGCACTTCCGGGTTACTCGGGCGGATTTCCAGGAGGCGAGGCGAGCACTTCCGGGTCAGACAAGCGGTTCCGGGCGCGCGCGTCGCCATGGGGACGGCGGGGCCCGGCTGGGCGGAGACGCTGCGCGCCGCGCGCAAGACCGCGCTCGTCCGGGACGGTAG